TATCGTGATGCTTTTCATCGCTCTCTTCTATCTGTAGGGAAAGCAATTCTGATGAATAAGCTTTTATTCCATAATTTTATAAATCAAAGATGCGCTTAGGCGGTTTTACTGTAGAAACCGTAGAACGTGTGGATTCTGTGTATCGCACGTATTTCACTAATTGTAAGTATGACTTGACAATACTTTCTACACGCATGCTTTAATATAAATAAACTGTCATATGCCGCCTTGATAGGTACAAACGTATTTACGAAATTCTATTCGAAATATCCGTTATATTTGCAAAGTCAAATCAAATAATACTTCTTGACACTCGCAAAAACACTTGTAAATCTTTCATTATTCTGGCGGAAATAAACAGTGCATAAAGAATTGAAAAAGACAATCAATAGAAGTACATCTTTATCACTTCATTTCAAAAGAATTTGATACTCTCGTATTACTTTTTTGGTATTCTTTCATCTTTTTATATATTTTTCCCGTACTTTTCGTTACTCTTTCTCTTTCTTTTAAGATTGTAGCGTACGTGAATTTTTGTTTCATCCACAAAGGAAATATTTTCTACACTTCCGACCTTTTTTTACATAAAATATAAAATTCTATAGTAATTCTTACTATTATATTTTTCTCATGTTAGCATTATAATACAAGAACCAAAGACACTAAAAACTCTAATTAGAAGTATTGATTGCATTGCAGATTCAAGTTAAAGAGAATTATTGATTATCGTCCTACATTTCATCTCTGTTATAAAATACTTATGTGATAAGATATAATAAGATATAATGTAAATTTATATATATACATATATATATATATATATATATATATATATATATATATGTTTATATATATAATAAATACATATGTACATATATATAATAAATTTATAAACATTATATTCTAATACATAAATATATATATATATATGTACATATATATAATACATTTATTTATATTATAATATATATATGTTTATTGCAACTATGCTTGTTTAAAATATTCTATTTCTACCAATAAATTCGCGTAACACGTTATATTTCTGAATATAAATATGATTGACCTTACGATATACGCAGAAACGTTTCTAAGGATATTATTAGTGTTTTTCAAACAGTCGCAGGATTAATATATATACTCGAGCCACAACTCATTTCCATTCGTACGATGTGAACCAAGAATATTACAAGTTTTATTTATATAACATTATTTTATAATTAACATTATAAAATATAACTCTCTGTACGTCAGTTATATCGTTCTAAACATGATTCCCGAGGCGTTTCCCGAATCATCTATAATACGAAACCCAATCGTAAATTATAATAATTTTTTCAATCCGTACGTCTGTCATGTTTGCAAAATCTCAAAGAGCCTGCAAGAATGTCATTGGTGCCAATTAATCTCATACTGTTGTAAGCAGCACTTGGAATTGCATCTAGAGCAACACAAAGAGTTTTGTCTGGCTGTAATAAGCTTGCGTGACGAACTATACGGTTCCCATGATATAACTCTTGAGGAATGGACTCAATTAAAGAAGACTAATGTGAGAAGAGTTAAGTATAGATTGGGTCGCAATCTGGAACCATATGAAGAGCAAATATTGCTATTTGCAAAATCGTGTCTCAAATGCCGCCGCCAGAATAACCTGAGTATAGTTTGTAAAGCATGTATGTCGGTCAGCATGTGTTATAGGCACATATCGGTGGCACCTGTGCATGGCTGCATGGACCTACGGCTTTGTACAGCACTGGATATCAACAGCATCGGAATAAATGAAATGTTTATACCAAAGCCAGTAGAACTTCTAAATTATTCTTATCCAAGCGACATGAAAGAATATATTCAACAGAGTTTAGGACGTAGTAGAGATTTGAATACTTGGAGCAATGCTGATTTTTTATATACTAATTACTTCTCAAGACCATTGACGTTGTTATTTAACATAACGACGAGAACAGATATATACAAACTGACATCTTCTACAAACTTTACAATTCATGTTATAGCCGGAATCTTTACTGATGAAAATAGTCAGTTGGCTTGGGAATTCTTTATACATCAAATGCTTCCGGATTCATCGTTAACAATTCTAATTATAGGACCTAAAGTAAAAGAACATATTTATAATATAGAGCTTTGTGATACTTGCCTCTCTCAAAACAAAAAACTTTGCTTTATTTATATTTCTACGAAGTATAAACATTATATATGCGCTGAGACATATAAAAACTTGGAACCAAATATAATCATGGGATTTGACATAGATTTTAAGAATGATAAAACGGCTATTGGAGCAGCAATGTGTCTGAGCACACCGTTACTTTTGACCTGCAAATCAGAAAGGAAGGCGCAAGAGACTGTCACGAAAATAAAAGAAAAAATTCGCAAAGAGCCTGTCATTAATGAGAGGAATAAATTCGCATCTTGTAGACCATATAGAGATGCTGAAAGTGATTCTGTGTTCTTTCCTCATCACTATGTAATTATTTATGATAATGAACCTAACAGAAATAAGAAATTAGATGTTTCTAGTAATGACAATCAACCCAGTACTAGTAACCAGTGCTAGTACCAGTAACTTATTTGAAGGATAATTATATCGTTACACTGGTCATATCATGATGCGCCATATACAAGGTAGAAGTCTTTTATAAGTTTATTTTTGTTCTTGATCCTTTTATATTTTCTTTCCTAAGCATACTGTGCACACGTAAAGATCGTAATTACATTGCTTTTCTTTTAATGCTTTCCTTAAAAAAATGTTGGGCGCGTCTTTAATGTCTATTATGTAGTATACTGAATATAATGAATATACTTTCAAAAGTACTTA